GTAAACAGAATATTTTATATAGATTTTTTTTAATGAAAACTTAAAATCCTGCATTATTTTCCGGACAACCCGATAGCACAGACCTCGAAATAAAACGCTCCACTCATCACTGATGATGTAGAAGCTGAAACCTGACTGAAAAATCAAAACAGCCATGACAAGCTGAAAAAAAGAACAACCTTAAACGCAAGAATTGCTCCAAATGTTGTAATGGTTACATTAACGTCTGAAACCGCATAAAATGAGCACAGACCCAGAAATAAAACGCACGACCGATCATTGAAGATGGCGTGAAGCTGAAACTTGACTGAGAGTCCAAAATAGCTATAATAAGCTGAAAAAAGAACGACATTACATGCACCATTCCCCTCGACGAAAGCTTTAATCCCTTATCATTTTGTAGTGAGTGTGTGTGAATAAAACGATTTTTGGTGCTTAGTAGTCATATGATTAGTTATAAGGCAGAAGCGAAAAGGGACTTTCGTATGGATGAGTACCATTGTCTCGCCGTCCTATCCGTCAGAGAAACAGTACCTCCGTCGGCTACAAATGTTCTGGATAACCGTATTAAAAGACACCCAACAAGCAGTTAGTGAAGTTTGGTCAAGAAAAATGAATGTGACTCTCCCTGATTGCTCCTCCTCCCTTCGGTGTAATAAATCCTTATAATATTGGAGGAATGAGACAGAGGGCGAGGAGGAGGGGTGACATGTGGAGATAATCTAAAACTGTCCAAGAAACTCCGGCACTAACTCTAATAAGAGGAAAGTAACTTGGATCTTTACAACTTGCCTCAGCCCTATCACTTTACCCCACACGCTGATTTCATCTATCACTCTTTCCAGGAATTGTACTTGTCTTCGGCTCCTTATCGTTTTACTTTTTATCTCACGGAACTGGCTAGCGTCTTCATACTTTTACTACGGTGGGGGGAGGGCGATCTTATGAATTTTGAAGCGTTATGACAAGGTTTCTCTGTTCTTCTGTTTACTCCGCAGGAAGGAAGGAATAACGTCAGAGATCTTTATCAGGCAAAACTTTTTTGAACCAACCAAAATATTTTGTTGCTATTTTAAGATTTTTTTTTTAATTTAACAGTCAAGAATTTTCACATTGATTTAGCCTTCGATCATTTTGGACTACCAATCGTCGCTGTATTGAAACTCTCAGACATATTCATTCAACTTCTCGCCTTCTTCAGTGATCGGTCGGTATTTTGTCATATGTGCCCGTTTATGCATTTTCGGATGAAAATTCAACTCTTGGGACATTTGGAAGCAACAGTGCTAGAGAGGACTCTAGGTTTAGACTGTCTATCTTCGTTGGTTTGATCTCTCAGTTGTTTCAGCTTCTCGCCGTCTTCAGTGGTCGGTCATGAGTTTTGTGTCGTGATCAGTGCAAATTTTAAGGGTTTTCACTCTCAAATCGCACTCTTTGTCACGTGTTGACGTAAAGCTCTTCATTCTGCTCAGCCTATCATTGCTGTTTAATCTCTCAGACAAGTTTCAGCTTCTCGCCATCATCAGTGAAAAGCCTTGCGTTTTATTTCGTGATCTTTTCCAATTTTAAGTATTTCTGTCTCAATTCTAACGCTTTGCCACATTTTGAGGCCATGTTGCATATTACTCAGCCTATCATTGCTATATGGTCCGTCAGTCAGTTTCAGCTGCTCGTTATCATCAGTGATAAATTGTGCGTTTTCTTTCGTGATCTGTTCTAATTTTAAGCGGTTTTCGCTCTCAAATCTAACTTGTTGCCACAATTTTAGGCAATGTTGCATGTAAGGTTGTTCATATAGCTCAGCCTATCATTGCTGTTTGATCTCTCAGTCAAGTTTCAGCTTCTCGCCATCATCAGTGATAAGCCGTGCGTTTTATTTTGTGATCTGTTCCAATTTTAAGTGTTTTTAGTCCAAATCTAACAATTCACCACATTTTGAGGCAATGTTGCATGTAAGCCTGTTCGTATCAGCCCATCATTGCTGTTTGGTCCCTCAGCCAAGTTTCAACTTCACGCCATCTTCAGTAATCGGTCGTTCTTTTAATTCGTGGTTATACTAATTTTATGCGTTTTCATATATAAACCTAACGATTGACACATTTTAAGGCAATGCTGCGAGTGTAAGGTTAGTCATGTTGGTGAGCTATCATTGACGTTTGGTCTCCCAGTTAAGTTTCAGCTTCTCGCCATCTTTAATTATCTTTGCTAATTTAAGCGTTTTCTGCCTTAAATCAAACCACTGCCATATCTGGAGTCCTAGACTAGGCCACACACTGACTCATCATAAACCCAGATCCATTATTTCAGTTACAACTGGCTGACTAATTCAGCAGGACAGATTTACCAATGGTAATCCTTTATCTCATAACCTCATTTTCAGTATTAGAAATATCGACTAATTTTTCACTCAAGTACACTCTGGATAGAGTTATGGTCTTGAAGAAGATAGCAAATTCAGTTTTTACTGCCAAGCTTTCGACCTATTGTAAGGTCATCAGGGCAAAACAATCTTAAATATGTCTATTGATTGACATTTAAGTTTTTTTTAATGGCGATCTCCATTTCCACGAAGACCGACTCAGTCCCACCATTGCCAAGGACTGTAACCAAGTCCTTAGGATTGTAACAGACCTTGGCAATATTGGGACTGAGTCGGTCTTAAAGGAAATTTGAGATCACCTGTAAAAAATTTAAATATGTTAATCTAAAGACATTTAAGATTGTTTTGCCCTGATGATGACATAAAATAGATCGAAATCTTGACAGTAACAACAGAATTTTCTTCTTCAAGATCATACCTTGATCCAGAGTGTTCCTCATGATTCCCTCATGTCTGTGAAGTGATGAACGGGATCTATCAGATATGTTTCAGCTACAGACCAACCGAGCGAGGAGAATCACATCAAGATTCTTTTTACTGTTTCGAGAATGACTCCTGGATATAGTAAACTTTTCAAAACCAATAGTTTGAAAACAATTAAAGAACGTAAAGAGAGCCATAAAAATCTCATGTGCAATTAACCTTTACAAAAGGTAAATTTAGGGTTTGGTTCAAGTGACGCAGAAACAAAGGTTGCATTCCATGCGATCATTAAAATGTTAATGAGTGCAAAGACTGCCCATAAGAAACCATAAAAGATCCATCCAATAAATCCTTTCAATACGAAAAACGCTTCTCAAGTTCAAGGGTACAGGAAGTTGGCTCTTAATCTCCGGAGCTTTACGATCATATTAAAAGTACCAAAGTTCTACAGAGAGAAAAAATCAACCAAGAGCATAATACACAGTGTGGAGAATGTACAGGCAATTATAATGAAAAGTGGTCGCGAAAAGTTTATTATTCCCCTGAACAAGTACAAAGGTTAATATTAACACTGGGCATAAAATTGGGCAGTAAAGTTGTGTTGTGTAAAATAATTTACTAGCAGGTTTATACTTTTATTCCTTTTTAGTACTTTATAACAACAACAAAATTCCATGTTATTTTTTCATTTGTCAATTGTGTTCCTATAATTTAAACAACCCTGACCACAAAAATTTTATTCTGCTTGTACAGAAATCCTAAATTGTTTAAATAATTAGATTCTATTTTCATGTGTTGTTTAGTTGCGACAGACAGTGGATATAATGAAAAACATTGACATCGGATGACATCCTGTGTGATATTTAACTTTGCGACTAACGTATTTAAAGCGCAGACAGGGGAAAGTTCTGACAGTAGAAAGCCTAATGGAACTTCACTAACAAACTACAGTTAGTCCCTTAACAGTGCTAATCTCATTTACATGAGGCTTAGTAGTTGAACAATTATAATACAAAGTAATGATCCAACGTTTCCAGAATCACAGTTGACGAGTAAATAATAGTTATTTAACTTTTAACCATTGAAAGAAAACACTTATGGTGTGTATCCCATTCGATAGTGCACTATTTGCTTTGGTAAGGGGTGGAAATATGCGATATTGAAATGTTAATTAAAAATCTAAATAACAAATTTTATCTATCCGTCTCTTTTTCCTTATAATTTTACTTTTTTTATTTTTAGACAGATTCAATTATCAAACGTTAAAGAGTTAAAGTTTATCTGACTGTCTTTTTTTCTTGTTTTTTCATTTTTCTTAGAATTTTACTTTTTTTATTTTTAGACAGATTCAATTATCAAACGTTAAAGATTTAAAAAACGTTAAAGTTTATCTTTCTTTTTTTCATTTTTCTTAGAATTTTACTTTTTTTTTATTTTTAGACAGATTCAATTATCAAACGTTAAAGACTAAAAAAACGTTAAAGTTTATCTTTTTTTTCGTTTTTTCATTTTTCTTAGAATTTTACATTTTTTTATTTTTAGACAGATTCAATTATCAAACATTAAAGACTAAAAAAAACGTTAAAGTTTATCTGTCTTTTTTCTTGTTTTTTCATTTTTCTTGGAATTTTACTTTTTGTTATTTTTAGACAGATTCAATTATCAAACGTTAAAGACTAAAAAAACGTTAAAGTTTATGTCTGTCTTTTTTTCTTGTTTTTTCATTTTTCTTAGCATTTTACTTTTTTTTCATTTTTAGACAGACTCAATTATCAAACGTTGAAGACTAAAAAAACGTTAATCTGTCCGTCTGTTTTTTTTTCTTTTTTTCTTTTTTTCTTTTTTCATTTTCCTTAGCATTTTACTTTCTTTTTTTTTAATTTTTAGTCAAAGACAATTATCAAACGTTAAAGACTTAAAAAAGTTAAAGTTTATCTGTCCGTCTTTTTTTTCTTTTTTTTTTTCATTTTTCATTTTCCTTTGCATTTAATTTTTTTTTAACTTAGTTAGACAAAGAATCAATTACTAAACGTGAAACTTTAATTATTACATAAAAATATATACAAATGAAGTGGGTGTATTTTTGTGCCTGCCAGTGTATACTGTATTTTTCTTAATAACCCTCTTTCAAAAAAAAATAAACAAACTGAAATAAACAAAATTCAATTTTAAAATCAGATTTATTCAGCACTCTTACCGTTTCCCATTCGATGCTTTTGAAGAACGGGTGGTTCACTATATCCATAAAGCCAGACTCTCTGCAGCAGCCAAGCCTGTCCTCGGGCTTTTTATTGAGGAACCCTTTAAGTACGGAGGCAGCTTTTACCGACAGCGAACGGGGAATACGGATGGTCTTTTCCAGAATGACTGAAACAAATTTAAACCGTACCATCAAAAACTGTACAAGCCGGTACATGTAAGAGGCAGTCAGGATAATCTTTAACAATAATTTATTATACAAATAAATTCTGATTTTAGTTAAGATTCTTGATAAGCAATAATTGTTGTCACAAAAATGTGATCAACCTACATCATGTTTAATTACCTTACATATTTCCTTCGGCCATTAATATATTCTTTAACATGATCTGTATCTTTATTTTACTTGCTTTAATCTGCATGTCTGTTTAATCTGAACATGTTTTAATCGGCAGAAATAATTTTTTCAGTTTGCAATTTTTGTTTTTATTTTTAATTAAGTAATTTTGACTTTGCTCACTCCAAACTCTACGCTGATTTTGCTGCTTTTTACAAATAGAAATTAATGCCTGCCTAATTAATATCAATGCCCAAAAGAAGAAATAAATTTAAAAGTTCTGTTTTCCCCTTCCGTAATAAAAAAATAAATAAATTTACCTTGGAATAAATAATCTTCCGTATTTTGATCTGGGTTTTCAGAAGCTCCAGCAATATCAAACGGACTTCTTCCAGCAAGCATCTCGTAAAGGAGAACTCCTAAGGCCCACCAATCAACACTGAAAAATATAAATAAGTTATCATTAATAAATCGAATTATGGTTTAAGCGTGTCAGGGGAAAACTCATGTCCAATGGTTTAAATTTTACAGAAAAGAATTATTTGTTTGTCTAGAAAATAATGCAAGTTTTCTTTCAATTACCGCAAAAAGTGAAAAAAAATTCGTTTAATCCCAATAATTTGCTTCTTCACTAAAGTAAACAGAGTAATTGCCTTTGTTTACATTCTGTCATTGTTTGACTTAATTCCTGGAAGTAAATAAATTTTACAATAGTACCTACTCATCACATTCATATTCCATTCAAAATGAACTGAAGAGCATATTTTTCCAATTAACGCAAGTTGATATTACGATTGCTTTATTGATAGTGACGGTATTGTTCATCGTGCAGTCCAGTTGTACTCCCAAAAATTTCCTGATCGCCCCAGAGTATGGATCAATTTAATGATTCATAACCAAGAAACCAGCAGCGTAATTTCAACGAGGAGCTGAATGTTTTACTGCATGTTCTCAAAAATCCTAATCCCTCTCTCCGAAGTATTGGAAGGGTTTTAGGTTTTTCAAAATATAAAATTAGAGATGTACTCCGACTTACAATTTTAAGCCGTATCACTCTCATCTCTAACGTTCCTTGGAAGCAATTTTGGACGCTGAAGAAAACTTTCCTCCATACATCCTACAGACTGATGAATCCAGTTCACTTTTAATGGCATACTAAACCGTTGGAATTTTTGAATGTGGGCAGAGGAAAATCTGACAATTTCGTACTCTTGTCATCATCAGATGGTTTACAGTATCAACGTTTGGTGTGGAATTCTCAGAAATAAATTAGTAGGGCCTTATTTCTTCAAAAATAATTTAAATGGTGCTCAGTCCCCCAATGTTTTTGAGGAAGGTTTTACCAACAATATTAGATGATATTCTGTAACAACGACAAAGAGTGATTCTCCAACAATTCTTTGCAGTTGAGACTTTATTTGAAACGTCACTTCTGGGAGAGGTGGATAAGACCTCATGGCTGGATCCTTGGTCACTCGATTTAACACCATATGACTATTTTCTGTGGGGGTATTTAAAAAGCAGTGTCTACCCAGCATCCTCAGTTAAAGAACTGCAAGGATAGAAAATGCTTGTCAATTCATCTCCGCTGACTCTATCGCTCTGACTATCAGTGAAGAATGGTTAAAAAGAGCAAATCTTTGCATATTTACGCTAGGCAGACAGTTTGTACATGAAATGTGATTAATAAATCGCAAACCAAATTGCTGATTTTTCAAACTTTTTACCAAAATTTTGTCAATTATTTTGATCAATTTAAAATCCTATTGCACCGTTTTTTTCAGTGTAAAAAAAAAATCTTTTAAAATGATTCAAACCCATGATCTTCGGCTCAATATGCTCTAATCACTTGAGCTATTTTATTTTATAGTTATTTATTTACTTCATAAGTTGCCAGGATTCGAATCATGATTAAACGACATTTGAAAAATGGCAAAAAGAGGGAAAATTGCAAAGGTTGTAAGTTGGGATGAGGAGTTGGTGTTTGAGTAGATCAAAGTCACAATAGCTCAAGTTCAAATCCCATTCATGATACTAACTTTTCATCTCAACTAAGACCTTAAATAAAAAGAATACTTCATTGAAATTTTTATTTGTTTTTGATTTTTTCCTTTACACTATAATTGTATATTTAGAATTAGATAATGAACATTTTCTTTTTAAATGTCTTAATTTTACAACCAAACCTATTTTTGGTATGCAAAAGATTAATAAACCTAAATACAATAAAATTTAAGGGTAATGCGTTAATTTAGTCCATTAGTGCAGTTTGAAATAAACAACAATAAAACAGTGTTCAGTTTATTTTATTTTTTTAATTTGTATGTATGTATTTATTTATTTAAGTGTATCAGGATGGACGATTTTTTTTGTCCCGGACTTTACACTACTTGAGAGATGGCCCTGTCATAAAATATTCATCAATTCTTTTGTGTTTAGCACATACTGATTTTTTGTTGTGAGAATTTTCACGACTTATAGAAAATAAAGTAAATTTGTAAAATCACTTATATTTTTAATTTTTATATTATTTATTGCTAGTACGTTACCTGAATCCGTAGTCTTCTCCTCTGAGAATTTCTGGAGCAATATAATTGGGTGTACCGCAGAATGTTGCTGTAGTATCGCCAGGCCTTATTCCTTCTTTACACATACCATAGTCCGTCAGTTTGATATGGCCTTCATGGTCCAAAAGAACATTGTCCAATTTCAAGTCTCGGTATATGATTCCTTTATTTAAAAAAAAATCGTTAAAAATTTAAAAAATTTATTTTACAATCAGAAAATTAAAACAAATTTACCTTTGTCGTGTAAGAAATTGAGCGCTAAACTAATTTCAGCGGCATAGAACCTTGCATGCTCCTCGGGAAGCCTGCGCTGCCGTTGCATGTGGAACATCAGGTCTCCGCCCCTTACGAATTCTATCACAAAGAAGAGGCGAGACGGCGTCTGGAAACACGAATGAAGACCGACCAGGAACGGGTGGTTTGAAGCTGTTTCGAAGACATGCTTTTCAGTCTGAACCCAATCGATATCCTGAAAAAATAAAATTACATTAAGTTGTGCAAAACAATTTTTTTTTCTAAATTAAGAAATCTTAGCTGTTTCTAGTTCCAGCGAGTAGTTTCTTTGTTTTTAAATGGCATTTTTTGATATCAAGATTACATAAAGATCAAATTAACAGACCCACATGAAAAACTATCTGCACAAATCAGGGCCCATCATGGACATTTTAATGCTGGTTTAAACAGAATTAATATTAACGATTCAGCGTTTTGTGAATGATGTTTGGACAGTTTTGGAACATTTAGTCATTGGCAATATTTTGGCACACCCATTTAATTACCAAGGCAATCCAATCAAGCATTATTTAAGTTTACAGACATGTTTTGTAAATCTTCGGCATAACAAAACACAGTTTACCTAATTGGTGAATGACAGCTGTTAAGAAAGTGAGAAGTGGGCTCATGGGTATTCAAACAAACAGAATTTAAAGGTGGAAAGGAAGGGGTCTTAGCAAGAGAGGAATTCCATAGATTGAAGGCACAGATGAGGAAGACTGAACGCAGTCGTTCTACGTTAATAAGGATAAAGATCAGAAGGGTGGCAGGCGTGTACAGATGATCAGAAGGTAAAGAAGCCTGAAGATATCTGACAGAAGAAGAAGTCAAGAAAGTATTGCTTGTGATAGGAAGGGTACAACCAATCCAAGATGTACAGATCAGTCACTTGAGACCTCCTTACGGAACGAGACTAAACGTAAAATCCATAAGCTTATTTTTAAGCTCTCTATTAAGTCCCCCATACACAACACATCTATAACCAAGTAGGAGAGACTAAGGAGTATACTAGGATTATACTAAATAGAAGAACTGATGGAATGTGGAGAAACATGAGAAAATCAAGGAGATATGGGGCTTCAAAGAAAGGTCTGATCTAGGTTCTTGACGGTGGGATATAAGGAAATAAAGTGATTGTTAAATGCAAAATAGTACGATATAAGGAATGAAGAAGAGAACTGGATCCAAACGCTATAGCTTAGGATACTGGGTGTAGGGCAAGTAGTACTTTCCTATGTTCAACTTAGCCTATTTTCAATGGCCCAAGAGCTATTTGAGAAATTTCCTAGCGGTACAAAGCTGCCATTGGAACCTAACTCTGTCAGTTAAAAAGTGACTATATACTGGTCATCTAGCTTAAGATACTAGCAACTGAGTCACATAATGGGCTAGGTAAACTCCCATGAGGTATAAACCTAAGGGTCAGCATATCGGGGTGCGATAACCCTTTGAGGTGAAGGTCAAAGAGCTTGGGACTTTCTTAAGTTCGACTTAGCCTATATGGCCCAAGAGCTAATTGAGATTACAGTTTGCATGCGTTGGGAGCTGAAATGTCCTAGCTGTAGAAAGCCTCCATTGGAGCTTAACTGTGTGGGAAGCAACGATTTCCTAGGCATCTAGCTTAAAGGTGATACTAGTATCTCAATCAAATAACAGGGTAGGTGAACTGCCCTAAAGTACAGGCGCAAGGGACAGCATATAAGGGAGGGATAACCCTTTGAGATGAAAGTCAAAGAGCTTGGGACTTTACTAAGTTCAACTTAGCCTATTTTCAATGGCCCAAGAGCTATTTGAGAAATTTCCTAGCTGTACAAAGGTGCCATTGGAAACTAACTCTGTCGGTTAGAAAGTGACTATATACTGGTCATCTAGCTTAAGATACTGGCAACTGAGTCACATAATGGGCTAGGTAAACTACCATGAGGTATAAACCCAAGGGTCAGCATATCGGGATGTGATAACCCTTTGAGGTGAAAGTCAAAGAGCTTGGGACTTTCCTATGTTCAACTTAGCCATTTTCAATGGTCCAAGAGCTAATTGAGATTACAGTTTGCAGTGGAGTGGTCTGGAATCCCAGCGGCAGCCAGACGTTTGAGGTGGGAGAAGAGCGTTTTGACACCTAGTATGTCTTCCAACACAAAAACCTATTTTTAGACGCAGTTTTAGGTACCTAGTGTTTAGACGCCCACTATGTCATTGAGACAAAGCAGAATTTGCCAGGATCATCAGGTCGAAGTCTGTTTTGCCTTCAACTGTCAACATATCGTCAGTCATCTGCAAGAGCCAGAGCAACTCCTTCAGGGTTTTCTATCTTTAATGCTGAGTCATACAAAATATTCCAGAATCGTGGTCCTTCCACAAGAGCATCACCTTGACTTAAATAGTCTGTTTAGGACTATGGTGGCCTCCTGCAAAGTCGGCACTTCTCCAGCTGCTTGCTTCTAGATTTAATCATGGACTTCGTGCATTTGTAGACGCAATATTCTCCTTCTTAGATACTGTGAAATAGTGTTGTATACACCCAATGTTTATCAATTAAGCCAAACTTCATTCAAATAGACGATAACTTAAGTTTAGTTACATGTAATAAAATTGGGGAGTATGTTGAAATAAATACAAGTATTTTAAAAAATTCACAACCTGGGGCTTTAGAAACATTAGTTCGGCACAGCAGTTCATCGAACGACTGGACCTAAATAACATGGAGCTGTACAGTTCAGTACATCATTGTTAACGGTACTTGTAATGAAATATAGTTCACTTGAATTAGTTCAATAAAATGTATCCCAAAATAAACGACTGTGCCAGTCTCTTGAGAGGGGGCTTATTTGGGACAGAGACTACTTGGTAACGGTATGATATTAATATCCACTGTTAATAAAGGTAGGCTTACCTCATCGTCAGTCACTAAAGCTTTTTTAATGACTTTCATAGCATAAATTCTTCTAGTTTTCTTTAGCTCTACCATTAATACTTTGGCGTAAGAACCTCTTCCAATAACCTTGATCAGTTCGAAATCAGCAATGGAGTACTGCCTTTGAGAACCCGGTTCCAAGCTGTCATCAGCTGAAACGTCAATGCCATCAATAAAATGTGAACTGTTAGTTTGTTTTGTAAAACTTACGTTTCGATGGGTCTTCAATCGGCACGGAATCCGAAGTGAGGTCCATGGGAGGTTCAGGAAAGTCTTTGAGGTCGGTCTGATGGTCCATGATGGGAGTGCCTGCAATGATATTTGTTTATAAAAACCAAAATTTGTGGTGTAAATAATAACAAAAAAAAATCAAAATCAAAATGTAGGTCGAAATGCAGTAAAAATTACAACTTTTAATGTCACTGGCAATTCGCATATTTTAAAATCAATCGTATTTTACTGTAGTTCAATACTCACTGATAGTCGGGGTGTCCCCGTTGGACTCATCTTTGATGATGGGCTCGACCGCTTCATTGCTACAAGGTTTCTGAACCAATTTGTGACACTTTTTATGCACTAACAACTTGCACTGTATGCATTTAAAACCCTGCCGACCAAGACCCCATATTCTGTCTTGGCAGAAAGCGCAGAAGGCTCGCTGAAAAAAAATTTTAAAATTTTTTAAACAGCTTGAAAATTAAAGACAATACCTACAGTTACATAGTACTGCAAGAAGAAAATATTCATTTATAAAAATCCAAAATAAATACAACACTGTAGGTGAGAACTAACAAAGCACTAATCAAAGCTGCCCTACTAGTGAAAGTAAAACTGGACTAATTGAATTCTGGGTTATTCTCATGATGAAGAAGAGGGGAAGGAAAAGTGGTGGTTATTGGATATCAGACTTCTCAGATTCTACTCATCACCAAGTAGCACCATATCTCATCCGAGTTACGATAACGGAGTACGAATAACAAGCAAACGTAAACAATTATTCTAAAGATTTCGGGCTGTGCTAAGTAGATCATTAATTAAAATATTTACTGCTTAGTAGAAGAAAACAATTGACAAACGTTAAATGTTAGAAATTAACAAATTTATCATCACTTAGGGAATAAGTAAACAAATAAAGTATAATTCAAAATAATTAGCACAAAATTAATAAAATATGTTAATTAAATGCATATTAATAATGCTCAAAGACTTTCCTATCTTGGCGTGGAATGTAATAAATTAAATTTATAGAGAAAAACAAACAAAAATTGGAGAAGGATGAAAAAAATAAGCTGTAAGGACTTACTCTGTTGAACCTCTTAGCTTGGAATATGTGGCCGTTGACCCTGTAAAGCTTCCGCCATCGTCTTGCTCCTCTGCGGTAAATGCTCCCTGATTGAAAAAAAGATAAGAAAAATAAATAAACATTTTTTTTTTTAATTCAAAGAGATCAAAAGAGCGGTGGGAAAAGGAGGGCTGAGAGATGGTTCAAAACGTCAAGAGATTTAGGGGTGGAATAAACAGGATTTCAATTAACTTTACAGGGCTAAACTTAACGAGTTGAGAAAGTATACGTGTTTTTCTCTTTAACTCTGTAACGTTGGTCATGATGGTCATCTATCATCACTGTTTTAGTCTATATGTCATGTTTCGGCTTCTCTCCATCTTCAGTGATGGGTCGTGCATTTTGTTTCATGATCTGTGCTAATTTTAGCGTTTTCTATCTAAAACCTAATTTTTTGCCATCTGTTGAAGTAGGGTGTAAGGTTGATTATTTTCATCTTCCTATCATCGCTGTTGTGGTCTTTATGCCAAGTTTCAGCTTCTCGCCATCATCAGTGATGTGTCATTATTTGTGATCTGTGCTAATTTTAAGCGTTTTCAGTCCCAAATCTAACTTTTTGCCACATTTGTAGGCAATTTTGCATGGAAGGTGTTCATATTGCTCAGCCTATCATTGCTGCTTTTGCCCATCAATCATGTTTCAGCTTCTCGCCGTCTTCAGTGATAAATCATGCGTTTTCTTTCGTGATCTGTGCTAATTTTAAGCGTTTTCAGTCTCAAATCTAACTCTTTGCCACATTTTGAGGCAATGTTGCATGTAAGGTATTAATATAACTCGGCCTATATATGCTGTTTGGTCCCTCAGACATGTTTCAGCTTCTCGCCGTCTTCAGTGATGAGTCATGCGTTTTCTTTCGTGATCTGTGCTAATTTTAAGCGTTTTCAGACGTAAATCTAACCACTGCAACGTTTAGAGCAATTGTTGCTTGTAAGGTTGTTCTTTTTGTCAGCTTATCATAGCTTTTTTGGACTCTTAGTCAAGTTTCACCTTCTCGCCGTCTTCAGTGATAAATCATGCGTTTTCTTTCGTGATCTGTGCTAATTTTAAGCGTTTTCAGTCTCAAATCTAAATCTTTGCCACATTTTGAAGCAATGTTGCATGTAAGGTATTCACATAGCTCGGCCTATCTTTGCTGTTTGGTCCCTCAGTCAAGTTTCAGCTTCACGCCATCTTCAGTGATCGGTCGTGCGTTTTATTTCCTGGTCTATGCTAATTTTATTCATTTGCAGACGTAAATTTAACCACTGCAACATTTCGAGCAATTGTTGCGTGTAAGGTTGTTCTTCTTTTCAGCTCATCATAGCTATTTTGGACTCTCAGTCAAGTTTCAGCTTCACGCCGTCTTCAGTGATGTCATGCGTTTTCTTTCGTGATATGTGCTAATTTTATGCGTTTTCATACGTAAATTTAACCACTGCAACGTTTCGAGCAATTGTTACATGTAAGGTTGTTCTTTTTTTTAAATTCACTAATTTCGTGGTCCGCTTGACCAATTAAATCATTACAATTAATTAAGGTTTTTAGTTGAGATGAAAAAAATTGAAAAATGGCACAAAGGAGGGAAACTCATAAGGTGGGGTTGAGATAGGAAGTTGATGTCCGAGTGGATCGAGGTCACGATAGCTCAAGTGGTAGAGCAGCGGGGTATCTAGCCGAAGATCGTGGGTTAGAATCCCGCTCGTGCCATTAACTTTTTTTCATCTCAACTAAAAACCTTAATTAATTGTAATGATTTAATTGTTCAAGCGGACCACGAAATTAGTGAATTTAAAGAATTAATATGAAGTACACTTCACTAAAGCTCTCCGTCGCCATTTCAATTGTCGTCGAAAATCCAAACCGATTACACGACATTTGAAAAATGGCAAAAAGGAGGGAAAACTCATAAGGCGGGGTTGAGGTAGGAAGTTGATGTCCGAGTGGATCGAGGACACGATAGCTCAAGTGGTAGAGCAGCGGCGTATCTAGCCGAAGATCGCGGGTTCGAATCCCGCTCGTGCCATTAACTTTCTTTCATCTCAGCTAAAAACCTTAATTAATTGTAATAGTTGTTATTTTTGTCAGCTTATCATCGCTGTTTTGGTCTCTCAATAAAGTATCAGCTTCTCACCGTCACCAGTGATCGGTCGTGTGTTTTATTTCGTGATCTTCGCTAATTTTAAGCGCTTTCATACGTAAATCTAACTCTTTGTCACATTCTGCCGCAATGTTGTAAGGTTTTTCATTTTGGTCAGCCTATTATCGGTGTTTCGGTTTCTCAGTCAAGTTTCAATTTCACGCCATCTTCAGTGATCGGTCGTGTGTTTTATTTCGGGATTTGTGCTAATGTTACACTTTTCAGACCTCAATCTCTTTAACCCAGCAGTTAAATTTTCTTCTATTGCACCAATGTCCGCTAATGGATTTACTGGAAGATTTTGATTTCTTGTATGAACCAACGAATTTTTCTATGGAGGTATGGTATCGAGTCTGCATCTCTGAAAAATCGCTTTTCTAGGTACCATAGTGTTTTCCTGGCTACTGCAGGGCCGTCGCAGGATATGTTCTGTTATCTCAATGTCCTCTAGATAAGTCGACATAGGTCATCTGTTGATAGTCACATTTAAAGTGGTTCTTTAATTTGCAAGTCATGCAAATATGCTAGTTCTTCAATTCTTTTATGTTGAGTAGGATTTGTTCTTTTTCCAATTAGGTTCTTTTTCGAGGAGTCTTGTTGAACTTAAAGCCTAGTTTAAGTTTGTTGTGTCTAACTATTTCAATTCTTTTAAAGGAAGCTTCTCAGGGGGTATGGTATCGAGGTCTACGGTTACATTCTCAAGAATGGCTTTTCTAGGTACCATAGCATATTCCTAGCTATTGCAGGGCAGTTGCGCAGAATATGTTCGGTTGTATTTGCGTTTTATATTCACAGTTGACATTGGTCATGTGTTAATAGTCCCATTTTTTAATTAGTTTTAATGGAGCGTCAATAGTTCCTCTTTCTCTCAGTGGGGTTTTTTTGCGAGTTCTGTTTTAACCCAGTTTAATGTGGATATACTTTATGCCACAGAACGGATAATGTTGCCAGGTTCCCTTTTTAACCGTATGTCTGCTGCCATATGAGGAAGGTCCTCATAACCTGAGACCACCTTTGCATTAGGTTACTTGTAGATCCCAGTTTTTTGGATATTCAAGCAGTTCCAGACGAGTTTGGTTTCGTACGCTTCGGTAGTCTTTAGAATAGCTTGGTTATCCGATTAGAGTACACATTTTTATTGTTGTACTATTGTTTAATTACCCAAAGTATTGGCAAGAGGTGAGTTGTTTTGTCACAATTTCAGGAAAGTTTTTCTATGCAAAATTTCCTAGTTTTTCGCTGTAAAGTTGAAGTTTAAGTATTTTTGATTACTCGACATCTGAATTTTATTCGTTTTGTGTAGTGTTTGATGTATTACGTCCGTCGTTTTCCTACACTGGGATCAATCGATGCAGGTTATGTCAAATGTTTTGTGTCCCATTTCATATCAATTCAACCCCAGGTTGCCCATGATCACTATACTACAAGTGGACAACATTACATAGAAAACTACAGCAAACAAATGTGGAAAGGAACAAATGGTGAATAAACGATCACTGAAGGACATTATGCTACATCAACCCTACACTGACACAAATAAATCTTAAGCTGTCACTGTCAACAAAATACGTACCCTCGCCGGGATATGACTTTGACTAATCATGCCAGGACCTCTGACAACCGGCCCAATGGACTTATGCGCAGGACCTTCTCAATTAATAGTCGTTCTTGTGTGTGATATATTATCTTTGTGCGATATTTACAATTCGTGATGTGTTATTTGTACTTTCTGTATTGTCAATAATTATACGACTGTCAATCAAAACGACAGGCTTGATGATGATGATGATACATTGGTTGTTTTTGTTCCCCAAGGACTGCAGCCTTCTAGTTTATTGAATTTTTCTAATTCCTTAGTTCTGTACAAACGACGCTATTCTTCTCCTAAGGAGTATTAGGTCACTAACTATAGATACTACAATTTCTTTCCCTTTCTTTTATCCCAAGTTATGTCTCCATTGAGCGGGTGCTTCGCATTCAAAGATAAGGGCCACTGTTTCTTCCTCATTGCATAACCTACAAATGGGGATCATCATTGAAAATGCCCATGTCGTGTAGCTGTTTTGTCAGATGCCAGTGATCCGCAAATTGTCCTATCACCCCTCTGCGTTAACCCACTATAAAAGTAGCAGTGAGTTTGCCAGCCTTGTTTAGGGTTGTTTTAGCATAACCTTACTTTACCTGGCATCGCTAGAGTTTATCAACTTATTGATTTGCTTTTATGGATATTTTGTAAAGGTGGATACCTTATTAGTTTTTTTTATCCCAAGTACAGGTTCAGGGTCTATATATGGTCTTGCAGATTCTCCTGTGACCAGTGTGTCTGCTTTTTCGTTATCCAACATTCCCTTGTGCCCTTGAACCCATATCATCACATAATGTTTCCTTAGGTTTGGAGATTTTGGACGCATTAACTGACTAATCTTAATATGATTTGTTTACATGCTAATGATATAATAGCTGTTTGGCTAGCGGATCTTAAACCACCGTTCATGGTATGTATTTCAGCTTGAAAGACCGACCTGTACTTCCCAAATAAGTTTGATTGCTCATGTTTTGGGCTTGTACCAATGTTCCTTCCTTTGTTTTGGAGTCATCTGTATAGATTATCTGATGTCCTCCTGATGTCCTCTTCTTCTTTGTAGACTGTTGAGACTCTATTTGATAATGGTACAGGTTTATTACCTGTGCAAGATCACAGATATCAATCTTCCAACTCATTTTAACATGGTTAGCTTTCTAGAAGTATAGCAGGCGAGAGCTTCAGGATCTTGTGTATCGCCAGATTTTCGAACGTTACAACTTAGACCGTTAAACATTTTATTGTGGTCAGACATATAAACGACGTAAAATCTTGCTTTCTTAGAGCTTTTTCAAAATGATCCACGTTTTATGTCATTGTTCCGATCTATATCTTCCGGTTACAGCTTGGCAGACCTTGGCAATATCCTGAATTGGTCTATCTCGGGGTGTAATTTTTAGTATAAAAAAAAAGCGTTTAAAAAGGTAAAAAGTAATGCTTTTTGACTTATTTTTTGATCTCCCATTTTCTGGCCAATGAAAGAATAGTTAAATGGAGGTATGGTCACCCGATATGAGGTCTCCGTTAGACACGCGCAAAATTTAATTAAAATTAATAAAGGAATATTTTCAAAATGGGAAATCTGACGAAATTATCTCATCGAAAAGGACGGAAATAAGTATTACACAAATAACAACAGTGATAAACTTACTGTCTTCGCCCTGACATGGCATTCCTGGCGCTGGTGGCACATTGGGAAAAACTGAAACAAACAAAACGACGTGAAAATCGATTAAACAACAACCACACATAAAGGTAATTAACTTTTTAAATTACTAATAAAATTGAATTTAAGAGCATATCCTGTTCACCGACAAAAAATTGGAAGGGGGACTTACTGTAAGTATTTAAATTTTAAATATTAACGTGATAGTTATAAAAAAGCATGCTCCATTAAGCAAGCACGTCCATAAAAAGTCGCTTAGCCTAACCAAAACAATTTCTGGCAATTTTACATCAATATCACCCAGAAACCAAAATACTTGTGCTTCACACTGTAATATTTTCTCCCCTCCATGAAAAACGTTGAAAAATGGTTATGTAACCTAACGGCAAGTAACCATAAATTTACCTCAATTAACATAAACTTAACCTTAACCATAACCCAGCCTAACTTAACCTAACCTAACCCCGTTCTTAATTCTAACCCTAGTTAACTTAGCCTAACACCGTCACTAATCTTACCGTCTCAACTATAACTCTACCAAACTTAGCCTAGCCTTACTCCATCCATAACTCTAACTCTGCCTAATTTAACTTAAAGTTACCCCGTCAAACCATAAACTCAATCTAACTTCGCCTAACCTGAACTATAACCCTACCTAACTTAACCTAACCTAACCCCGTTCCTAACTCTAACCTAGTTAACTTAACCTAAGACCGTCACTAATCTTAACCATCTAATTTCACTTAAACCTAACCTCAACTATAACCCAACCTAACTTAGCCTAGCCGTACTCCATCCCTAACCCTAACTCTGCCTAACTTAACTTAAAGTTACACCGTCACACCATAAACTCTATCTAACTTCACTTAACCTAACCTCAACTATAACCCTACCTAACTTAACCTAACTCCGTCCCTAATTCTAACTCTGCCAAACTTAACTTAAAGGAACACCGTCACACCTTAAACTCTATCTAACTTCGCTTAACCTAACCTCAACCATAAATCCACCTAAATTAACTACTTAACTTAACCCAACACCATTACTAACCATAACTCTACGTAACTTCGCTTAACCTAACCTCAAAGATAACCTAACATAAAGTAACCCCGTCCTAATTGAACCTAACCTAACCCGGTTCCCAATTCTATCCCATAAACCAATGTAAAAAAAATTATTTAAAAGCATGGTTTTATTTTCCATATGTATAATCTTTTACAAAGAAAATTCAAAATTTATTAAGCAATTTTAATTCTCCGCAATATATTCAACCTATGTTCAACAGTTTATTTAAGAAAGTACCGTGTAATTTCCAATTTATTTCTGACAGCTCATTCCGTCGTAAATTCTACTTAAAGCGTAAAGTTTAATTTTCTTATTTCCTGAAGTGGAGAAAACAAAATGAAGTTTGGCGAAATTGCAAGTTTATAAATTAAAATTTATTTTTTAATTCCATAAATTTCTTTGTGCAATATGCAAATATGTTCTGTTATGCGCGTTGGCGTGTAAATACGTCGTATTTAAAGACAAAAAACTGTAATTCTAAATGGCTGGATCCCCATGGACTACCAGCTTTTTACTTAACTTGTTCTCTATAAAAATACTAGCAAAATGTACTCTTAGAGAGGGTAATGTAAATTTGGGTTGAGTACGCCGGGGGAAAGAGAAAAATGAATTATAAATCTATAGGGGGCGAACAACAAACGAAAACTCTGTTTTCTCAGAAGTTGCCTCTCTAGAAAAAGTTTTACCCTTTCCCTTGACTAAACCTCGGACTGCTAGAAAAGCCAGTTCTGGAAAAAGAAGAATTTTCCCTCTAACCATTGCACAAACATTGCATAAACTCAAAATCGAGCTATATTGTAATAATAGTAACTTCGATAGGAAAATCTTTTAGTTGGTGAGTCGCTACATGGAAAATCTCGAATATTAACATAGTGAAATTTGTCAAATAAACTTGAAAGTAACAAAAAATTTGTACTTTTAAGGTACACGTTTGGATATAGGACGAGGAGTCTTTAACCGATAAAAATTCACCTCCTCAGACCTGTAAATTTGGGCATTAAATACGCCAACTGAACTGAACCGTTTCGTAGAGAAAGAAGAGTGATGTAGAGAGATGTTGAGAAGCTTTGACGAGAAGGCATTAGTTTCAAGTTGACGGACGTGGAATGTGTAGAATATTTTTGCGGTTTATCAAAGTCGGACGTTCCGACCAGAAGTGCGAGTCGATCTGAATACCACCAACTCAAAGTGAACCATAACGAAATTCCTCCAAACCACAAGACTAAGCCGGTTCCACAGACAAACAATCGCTTTAGGTTAAATTCGTTGAAATAGATTAGAATGTGACACTGACCTTACGACGAATCGAAAAATGTGTAGTTTCACACATCGACCCGATAAGTAGTAGGATGAGGTTGTTACGACAGATTCTATAGCTATCTTGACTAGCAACCACTGGAAAAACTTTCATATCATAGGTCAAAAAATGTCGAACGAACTACCAACCTCAAAAAAGCCCCTTGCTTGATATGACCTGACTCCCTCGGGAATTGGGTCTACAGAGACTGGTCTACAATTGTAGTAAACAGTCTACTTCGCAAACGTCCTTAGGATTTATTATTTAAAAACAAGTCCTTCGGCGTTAAAATCTTCAGAAACTGAAGAAAGGAAAATGTCGTTTTCTGGATTGACAGGGTTGCGTTCGGCATAGAAAAATTGGATTCGTTATACCAACTTCATAAACATCTCAGAAAAACAACCAGAACTACCGGATGATGTATATGGACTATTGGTACAAATGACTAGGATCTCGAATGCAACCTTCAGACCGAAAACAGGGAAAATCACTGAGGTCATCATGATCCCTAAACCATACAAACAGCCAAATAAAGTCAAATCAAACTGGTAAATATTAGCCCTTAAGTGTCCACAAACATTGCGCCTTCATTGTCTGTCGTGGGTGCATTCGACGATAACCTTTGGTTCAGAACTACTACTATAAATGTAACTTTGGGATTTATTTTTTGGTTTTAGCAGGGAAAGGTTAATGTCACTGGATGCCACGGTTCAATTTGCTTTCTATTATCTCTAAGTTTGTATATTTCCGATTACGATTCATTTTTTTACCTGAATATTTTTACCAGAACCTAAAATTTTCCGTAATCTTTTCTTTTTATAAAATAACGATTACTTATACTATGAATACAATTAACTTTGTTTAAATGTTGCCTGTTCCCTGTTATTAACTCAAATATTTACTATTAACATAATTAAAACCACTATATTATCGATTAGCATTGAAATAAATAATGCTTATCTTTTGTGCTTGAAACTACTTTCGAAAAAGGCTTAAGAAAAGGAGATTTGGTAGTCCACTGTAGATAAAGGAGACGTTATCGCCCAAGATATAGCTAATGAGGACTAAATAAAAATCAACAATGTTAAAGAGAAACCTCTAACGGGGCTAAAATTGAAAAATTGGGAGATAATTGCTAAAGAACACATGGCACGCTTGGCCCCCAATAGATGACAAGAACGGGAGGAACCTTCGAGCAAAATTTTAGGACAGTCTTAAGTGCCAAAACAAGAGGGAAAAGAAAGAAGGACGCCTCCGTCGAGAAGGGCCATATCTCTTGGCATATGGACCTAGAGTCCTAGAACGATAGAAGGTGGTCCAAGGAACGGGGACATTAGGTTCTGGAACCAAATAATAAGAACCCATGGGAAAGTATATCAGTATTTTCCCGGTTGAAGTTCATACAATAAAGAGATGTATTTAGTCAGGTTCCGGAACAATTGATCAAAGCCCATGGGAAAGTTCATAAGTGTCTTCCCGGCTGATGTCCATGCAATTTAGAGATTAGTAAATCAAGTCCCAAAAACAAATACCCAGAACCCATAGAAAAATGCAGCAGTATATTCTCGGTTGAAGTTCATGCTATAGAGATTTGTAGTAAGTCAGGCCCTAGAACCAAATACTAAGAACCCATGGGTTAACCAAATACATCAGTTTCTTCCAGGTTGAAGGTCATGCTATTGAGAGAGGTGCTTAATCAGGTGGAGGAACAAATTGCTCAAAACCAATACAGCAGTGTATTCTCGGTTGCAGTTCATGCTATTGAGAGAAGTAGTAAGTCATGTTCTAGAACCAAATACTCAGAAGAACACCTGGAGAACTAGCAGTATATTGTCAGTTGCAGTTCTGCTATTGACGGATGTAGTAAGTCAGGTCCTAGAACCAAATACTCAGAAGAACACCTGGAGAAACAGCAGTATATTCTCGGTTGCAGTTCTGCTATTGACAGATGTAGTAAGTCAGGTCCTAGAACCAAACACTCAGAAGAACACCTGGAGAAACACAGCACTATCTTCCAGGATGAAGTTTATGTTATTGAAAGTTGTAGTACGTCAGGTCCTAGAACCAAATACTAAGAATCCATGGGAAAGTACAGCAGTATCTTCCAGGTTGAAGTTCACGCAATTTAGAGATGTAGTAAGCCAGGTCCTAGAACCAAATGCTCAAATCACATGGAAAATACAGCAGTACCTTCCAGGTTGACGTTCAGGCAATTTAGAGATGTAGTAAGTCAGGTCCTACAATCAAATACTAAGAAGAACACCTGGGGATATACAGCAGTATCTTTCATGATGAAGTTCATGCAATTGACAGATGTCGAAAGTCAGGTCCTAGAACTAAATGCCAAAAGCCCCTGGGAAACTACAGCAAGATCTTCCAGGATGAAGATCTCGCAATACAGAAATGTACAAAGTCCAATTTGAATAAACGTTACAAAAACCGTAAAACGAATCATGACAGATAGTCAGGTCAAAGCACTAAGCTCGAACATCATTAGCTCAATTATGGTGCTGAATTGAAAAACTGTAGGAGTAGAATGAAAAGGCACAGTGGGAAGAGTCCAAACTTCTAAGTCCTGAACCCTTCTGTGGCATAGGGATTCACACTATCAACGAGTAACTTAGACAAAAAGACAAAATTGAAAATGAGGAAACAGTTGAATTTACTCATTGGA